TTATGATCTGATTAGTTACACCGGTCCTAACTTAATTAAAATTTGTTCTACTGTCCTGACTCTGGGAAATTCTCTGGACTATTTAGTTACTAGAGTTGTTTTACTAGTTTGTGTCGTGCCATGTGTGCAAATGCTGACTTGGATTCAATAAATATCAAAACACGTTACTATTTTAACTTCTTAACTCAACTTTAATCTGTCTCACCTTGACTGGATTTTAATCGGACACTTGGACAGCAATCGCTTGTTGAAGATAGTCTGGTTAAGAAAAGTATCACGCTCTGAATGAGAATAGCTGTTGTGTATGGCATTCCTGTATAGGTTAGCTCGCCTTGTAAGAACAGGTGCGGCCCTGCAGCTGCATGCTTCTCCTTGCTGGGACCACTCCAAGCCCCCCGGTGCTGCTGCTGCATGCTTGTCCTTGCTGGGACCACTCCAAGCTCCCTGCTCTTCTGCTGCTGCTGCTGCTGCTGCTGCTGCTGCTGCTCCTGCTCCTCGCTTCAACGCTTCACGCGCTTTCAGATGCGAACGCCTACGTTTCTTGCCGTGTTCTCCCTATCGTATCATTCATGCTTCATGACGTTGACATTCTGTACACTGCGTTAACGCGTTTTTTCGCATCGAGGTAATATCTATTTCCGTTCAGGACGGTTTTCTCCGCGTTGTCGTTTCTTATTTCTCGACGTTGCTATCATCTTACGTTGGCATTACGGCCATTTTACATCTTACCTACCTTATTATATATTCCTACACATACGCGTTACAATTCAGCAAGCGTTGAGGGCGTTGATTATCAGGTGATGGCGTTGGAATGTATTACTGCGCCTCTTATATTTGACAGCTAGTTAGTTACATTGTTAGTTGCTTAGCTCATTGCTTTATTGAAATGGTGAGATCTAACTCCAGGTATCCATAGGAATCATGTTCCCGTGTGATTAAAAGTGTTAATAGATCACGAGGGTTGCGATCGTTCCCTGATCAAATGTATCTACCGAGAGTTCGCCTCTCCAACGTGGTTACGAGTTCTCGCGATTGTTCTTTGCTAAGCAATCTAATTAGACTTTTACTTATAAAAAGGCGGAAGAGTCAGCCATGGTTTGCGTGTTACAATTTTTGACCGAATAACTACAGTCTTTTTTTAACTGGACTTGTTTTTTCTTCCCACTTCGGAAGCCCGAAAAAATTGTTGATTGACTCTAAATTCCAATGAGATCTCAATACATAATCCTTTTGTCCATTTTTTATGTATTAATTGATTTAATCGCGCTTATTTTTAGTGTCCGTCTTTAGGATTATTACTCTTATTTATCCCAATAATCGTATGACCATCAATTCGGAGGTTGTTCAATTTTTTCTCTCTTCAGCTCCGAGAAAACTCCCCCTCTAACTTGCATAGTTGTGTTTAGTGATGTCTTCCGAACTCTTGCATTAACTAACGATCTTTGTAATTCTATGAATTTACATTGAAAAGAAAGTCTTCAGAGGCGTATCTTTTTGATGCTTTACATACTGAAGCACTGAAATGACCTATTTACGTGTAATCAGCTATATAGGTACTGTTGTGCCCAATATACAAGGCGTTTACCAATACATAATTATGATTACGGTTTCCGAGTACGTATCTTTGAACTGTGTTTAGTACGTTAATTATGTGTCTTCAGATCTAGGTTAATTTGTTGCCAATTTTCCTCAACAACGGCTGCGTCCTGCGCTAATTAATCTGACCTCCAGCCTCCTTAATTATTCATTTATCGAGACGCTGCTTTGTGTTATCTCGTACGGGTTGCGGTATAAGGCCTCGATAGATAAGAGATAGCCTGCTTGTCTGGTTTACCAAGTCAAGTTGAAATCACTTAACCTGTCTGCCTCAGCGGAATTTAAAACTTTTTTAATATGTTCAACATTCGATCAATTTATTCATGCAATCCCGGCGATATATTCAGTAATTTTTTTAGTTTGGTGCTCGTGCATTTTTGACGCTGATATCGCGAACTATTGTCAAGTCCCGTAGGCTTAAAGCTCGTTGCAATCATTATTGAATTCTGAGCCCTGACGCTTTCTGTCGAATGTGGTTCGTTTCACCTGCGTGAATCCAGATTTGTAGCAAATTCACTTAAGGTCAGATTTATGGTACCTATTCGTCTCAACTAAAAGTAATTACAATGCTAAAATCAATGAAAACTTGCGTTGATTTCCCAGGACTGCAACTATAATTCCCATTGGAGTTAAATCCCTCTCACCCTCTCGCAACTGGACTCAAATATCAACTCCATTCTCCTTCCATTATATCATTTTCATTTGTATTCTAGGAGTGTTACGCAAACCTTCTCATGATCAGCCAGCTTCGTAATAACTCCGAACTTGAGAAAGGTATGCGTCGCTATTTGGTTACTTCAAGCGCTGTATGCCGTCTTCGTTGATTCTAGTGCGAGGTCAATACCTAGTGGCATTGACCCTGCATGGTTTCCATGTCAATTAAGTAAAAAGCTGAATTATTTGCTTGGAACATCATTAGATAAAAGAGCGCCTGGGTGTTACGTCCCACACAGTGTCGCGTCAAGGACGTCGAGCGCAGCCACCATGTCATACGTGTGGCTCTTGCTCAGCGCGCCGGCACTGCTTCTCCCTGTACAGTTCCCAAGCCGGCTGATCACATGACCGCGCTGGTCGCTTTAACTGTCGTGTTGTTCCGCCACAGGTTATATCAACTCAAGCCGTTTGCAAAATTTGCATCCAATAGTTATTCAAGAATTATTGTCAAAACTTTGAATAGAGTACATTAAAGTGCGTTTAGGAATCGTTTAAATTATATTTTCACCGTACATTTGCTTTAACTGCTTACTGCATAATGTATAGGAGTATTTCAATCTTACGTTATTGTGTGTGTGACGGATGTGAGCATTGTCCGCACATCGTCTATCTTGTATAAATTTATTCCACTTGGTTTACATCAACGTCTTGATACCTCACACCATTACGTCTGGGACTATTTATCGTTGTGTTGTCTTTGGCGTCAGTGAGACAATTTTTTCATTTAAGAAAATGTACGCCCTTTTTGTTTTTTTTCAAATTTTTTACCTGCTGTTCATTCAAACTTTATTCTTATTAGAATATTCGATTTCGATAGTTATTATTCATTTGCGGGAAAATTGTGAACGCGTGGCCTCGTTTTAATTTGTCTATGGCGGAACAATCAAACGCTCTAATTTATCGGACCTCGGTCATTGTTCGGTGCCGCTTCCGCTCATTCTGTCAACGATCACCAAATTTTACGACGTGTTTGACCGACTGACTTACTAGATTAGCAGCTTTCATGTATTTATCAGTTACCAGTCAGATAGAATTTTTTCACTTCACTTTATTTTATTTATTAAAATAGTTACAGAATTCCCTCTCTTTAATATCTTTATAGCGTGCGTATGACTTTCGGCATCATATTCGCTACTTCAATAAGGAAATGTTATCCCGATTAGATTTATTTAGGGAAGAGAGATAGCTTTAATCTTCGTTTCATGGCGGCCAGGAAGTCGGTGAACATCTTGAATGCAGGTAGATATAAGGTTTCTAGTAAACTATTTATAATCGTTGAGTGTCTAACAACCGCAACTACTCCCCCTCCCACCCTCTCGCCCGACGTTTTAATGACATTATTTGTTCTAAGTTACACTATTCTAATATACTGACAGTTTTCCCTTCATCGAGAATTTTTCGTGAATTTAATCAGATTCACTCATAATGCCTCCTAATAGACTGGAATGAGAAGTTAATTTCTTGATATACATGTCATTTCGTTTGGATTAAGGTTGTATTATGCTGCATCAGCTTGTGAAACTTATTGTACATACTGAATTACTGATGTAATTTATTTTGTCTATGTAAGGAAAACGTTTAATGTTTTGTTCGTCTTATTATTTCATCTTATTGTTTATTATTATATTCGTTATTTACTCATATTTTCTCTTATAATTTATTATTATAATTTTTTGTTCATCATATTATTTTGTTCATGTTAATTGATGAACTTACTGTTCATCAAATGCGAAGTATATTTCTTGAACCCACGTAACCACGCTTATTTATGTACCGTCTCAGATTATTGACCCCGAAATATCATTTGCTTGTGTCCGGCGGCGTGTTGAAATACTTGCATTGATTGTTTCACACAACGCTTAACTCTTATGCTTGGTGCAATTCCCCATACTTGTTTATTTATTAAATTATTAGAGACAGTGATACACCTTTAATCTGACTACAATAAAAATGATGCGTATGTGCAAAAATTGTTTTTGCGATTATATCATTGCAGTTCATTTTATCAGTTATTTGCATTAACCAATTATTATAAAAGAAGTATGCATATTAAGCTGGAACTTTTATTTACAAACGGGCAAGTGAATGCAGCTGTTGTTTTCCCACGCTGATCTCGACGGCATCTCTGTTTACTTGCAGCTGCATCCGTCCTGGCAGACGCGGCCTAAAGTTGCTTATAGCTCCGCGAATTTTTATGCTCCGGGTCTATTGGATTCCACCCAACTTTTCGTGTTATTTCCTTCAAGTTTTGAGATAGAACAAACATGGGACGCGATGCATATTGCATAAAATCCAGAGCTGCTTCTAAAATCGATCTTTTTCGTGGTAATCATTTTTTCATGGTAGTTGGCATGGTGTGCATTTGATTTTAAATCGCCTGAAATAATTATTTTACTAAGGTCTGTATCGAGTCAACTTCATATGTTCTTCATGATTATTAAGTAAAGCTAGTTTAGTATTATAAGTTTATTACATTATTCAAGTACTTTCCAGTACATTTTATGTGATTTAAACGGAGAGATGGATTCGCTAAGTCCATACTACCCTACCCTGAAAAGTTTTCCTTATTAGATGCATCTCTCCTAACGTGAATTTCGCCAGCTGAAGCATTTGCGTGGTGTTCTTGACCAATGAACTGAGCCAATGCAACTCGCAATTTTGTCTAATGACCGATGTTTTTTGTATTGCAGAAAGTTGATCCCGAGTTGATCTTCACGAAGCAGGAGCGAATTGGCAAGGGCAGCTTCGGTGAAGTATACAAGGGCCTGGACAACAGAACCCAGCGAGTCGTTGCCATAAAAATAATCGACTTGGAAGAGGCTGAGGATGAAATCGAAGACATTCAGCAAGAGATCATGGTGCTCTCACAGTGCGACTCCCCGTTCGTCACCAAATACTATGGCTCTTATCTTAAAGGTGGATCGCTTTTATTTGTATATGTCTTTATTAGCCCAATGGTTACTTGCTTATGCTTATGGTTACTTGTTACCAGGCCATTAGATATGAATTGCCATGACGACTGTTGATATATCAGACGATACAAGACCTACCACAGTGGCTGAAACTTTCATTCGGGCATCTTGAAGTGAACGAACCAGTTCGTCTTCAATAGCATGTCAGAGCTATCATCTATGAACAATTATAGTACAAGAAATTTTTTATTAGTCGGAAAATTTTTAATTTTGTTTACATTGGGTGTGACAAAACTGTCGGTTGAATTCTTCTGGCTGTTTGTTTTAATTCTAGTAAGATTATTTATTGATATCAAGGTGAAACAAGCTGAAATTGGACTCATCAGCTTTTGGTTGAAACAAACTAGAAATTAAATTTATCGGCTTCTAGGTAATAGTGAGAAGTTAGTCTTGGGTGTTATGACGTGACGCTAATGAAGAGGTCGTCTCTCTCTTCATAGCCTATTAACCTGACGATTAATTGTTAATGTAAATCTCAAGTTATGATGTTATTAGAGTAATTGCCAGTAGTAAAGTCAAAGCGCTAGCAATGGATGTGTTTGTGTACAAGTTTTGTTATTTATAATCTCAGGTCAAGGCTTTAGTCGATGTTGCCTGACCCTTCTTTTAATGAGCATTGATTATTTCCATCCAGTTGGCTCGATGTTTACGAATTCTCTTACTCAATTTATTGATAGTCTATACATAGTAGCTAACTTGAAGTATTCTTTTCTTGGCAACCGTTAAGTAATTACAATCACTTTTCAATCTTTAAAGAATTACCCGTTTCAATTCGGTAATTTAGTTTAAACTTGATGCACCAAAGGTTGAATCGGCCAGCGAAAAAATAGGAAACATAGTCGTTCATTTCCTTGATGCTAATTTCGACTGTGTCTCTAGAATTTGTTATGCTGTTAATGTCATAAACAAAGCCATAATTATGTGCTGATTTAATGCCAACGTCCAGATTAAATCAACGCCCAAGCACCAACATGACCTTTGGTAATGTTTTCATTTTGTAATGTTTCAATTTTTAGTGCATTCCAACTAAAGCCTGACACATCTAATCTCTTGCTTGTTCCATCCTGATGTCATTAATGATCTTATCCAAACTTATATACACTAACTAACACCAAACTTATATACACTAACTAATGACCTAGGGTCATGTTTGCGAATTAATTGTAACTAATTACAATTAGTTCGCTGTCTACCATTCAAGATTGTCTTCAATTACAATTGCAATTCGTAAAGTAATTATATTTAGTGTGTGTGCAGGCACGAAGTTATGGATCATCATGGAGTACCTGGGAGGCGGGTCTGCGCTGGACCTGATGAAGGCTGGCAGCTTTGAGGAGATGCACATCAGCGTCATATTGAGGGAGGTGCTTAAAGGTCTCGACTACCTTCACAGTGAGCGCAAACTCCACAGAGATATCAAAGGTGAGGATATATATCTGTGCTAATTTCTCAGAAGTGAAAACTAAGTTTTTGGCATATGAACTGTAATAAGCAAATAAAATCTCAAGCGAGTCTGAAGAAGTGTAAGCTAATTAACTCGCTTCAGGAAAGGTTATTTCTGTTACATCTGCTGTTTTCGTTTGAAATTTACACACAAAGTGCGATGCTGCTCTCATTCAATGCATATATCATTTAATTTTCATAATTACTTGCAGCGGCCAATGTTCTCTTGTCGGAAATGGGCGACGTAAAGCTAGCGGATTTTGGAGTGGCCGGGCAACTCACGAACACGACCAGCAAACGCAACACGTTCGTCGGCACGCCTTTCTGGATGGCGCCTGAAGTGATCAAGCAGAGCGCCTACGACTCCAAGGTAAAAGTTGTTAAAGAATAGAAATTGCCATTATGTTCTTTTGGATTTGTACTAATGCTTGGTCTCACTTTGTCTGCTCAATTTTGTGTTATGTTCCCAATTCAATGCGTCAGAGTTCTTCCTTAACATCTAGTTTGTGTTATTAGCTCCGTTTAGGTCTGGCTTTTCGCGTGTCGATTGATTCAAAGACGGTGTTTATCGTTCAAATATTTACCACACTGGACTCTATTTTGACGTGAACATCTTGTGTCGCTTCAGGAAACGCACTTAATTTCAAGAGCCCGAATTCCTGCTTCAGGGTTCATTCCTGTCCTAGGGTTCATTAATTTACAATTCGTAACGTAGACCGCTAATGACGTAAGGGACGTTTCTGACGATTGCACTGAAATTTAAAACGTATGATGGCTTTCGCTGCAAGCATGAGAATATCGTCTCTGTTAATTCATGTAGATTATGTGAAGAATGGCGATTATGTGCGATCCAAGCAAAACTTTTCCTTGGAATCATGTTAGCTACAAATCTCATGATCATTAATTTTGATTTCTAAATCTACCTTGATTTTGATCACTTCGAAAAATGCTTTACATTTTAATTAATCTTACCGACCGCTCATCTGCGCAATTCCTAAAGCGAAACTAACGTGTTGTTCAACGTGACATTAGTGTAATGAGATCAAAATGGTCACGTCCTGATGTGTTGTATCAAACTGGAATCCACGGTACATTCCGAACCACTAGACGTAGTCACATTACGACCACTAGACGTAGTCACAACATTACGACCACTAGACGTAGTCACAACATTACGACCACTAGACGTAGTCGCAACATTACGACCACTAGACGTAGTCACAACATTACGACCACTAGACGTAGTTACAAAATTACAACCACTAGACGTAGTCACATTACGACCACTAAACGTAGTCACAACATTACGACCACTAGACGTAGTCACAAAATTACGACCACTAGACGTAGTCCCAACATTACGACCACTAAACTCTACCCTGTCACAGGCGGATATTTGGTCACTGGGCATCACGGCGATCGAGCTGGCAAAAGGAGAGCCCCCCAACAGCGACCTTCACCCCATGCGTGTGCTGTTCCTCATCCCCAAGAACAACCCTCCCCAACTCACGGGCAACTACAGCAAGCAATTCAAGGAGTTTGTCGACTCTTGTCTCAATAAAGACCCTGAAAATGTGAGTCAGTATGCATTGTTCATGGGACAAGCGTTGCAATATTAGCTAATGCTGACGGTTACAGTTGATATTCGCCTCTATTGCAGAGAAATTGGCTCATAAAATTCCTTACTTAACCCATCATTTTACGATCATGATTTCTTTAGGTTATAGCCGGTGCGCTTTAAATTACCGAAAGATATTAAAATTTTTGCTTACCGTACTCCGAATACGTGCAATTTAGGATGATAGGTATAATTGAACATGTCATGAATTGATGTGCATATGCGTCTCGTTTCCTCATTTTGTGCGGTAAATTAACCTTCAAGTAATTTAAAGCGTAATATTATGGTATCCTTGTCTTACAGAGACCGACTGCCAAAGAACTTCTCAAATATCCGTTTATCCGCAAGGCCAAGAAGAACTCGTACCTCATCGATCTAATTGATAGATATAAAGTTTACAAGAGAAATAAAACCGATTCAGACACCGACTCTGACCCCTCAGACTCGTAAGTATCACTGATTTTTAGCACACTCTAAGGTGGCGATCTATTAAGCTTTGTGGTCCATATAGCTTGTCATAGTTGCAGAAAAGAACGCACGAGCAACCTCGTATATTTAACATGGTCTGTAAATCAATCTAAATGTTCTAAGGCTGACACCCATGACTTTTTATTTTCGGTATGGAGGAAATCGGTATGAAATGTTTCATTCTCTCTCGGCCTCAGTGCTCTTTGTTCTTCCATAATACGATAGATCTCGTAAATTTCATGGCCTTGTTCGTTATCCTAGCATTCCCTGACTATGCTGTTTTCTGACCAATTTTAGGGCTTCTTGTTCATATTGTTATTTCTTCATGAATTTTCAGTTAGAATAGAATCTTTCTATTTTTTACTTTCAATGTGGATGCGTTGGGTAAGATATTGTAAGTGCATCGTTCTGAAACGTTTCAAATCGAATCCTCATCATTCTCTTACCTGCTCGCCGCTGGCTTAAGCTTGTGTTGAGTACATACACTTATATTGAACACAACCTTCATCTCTAAGCCCGTGTTTATCTTATTTTTTTCTCTTCTTCTGGGAGATAATAGAGCGATATAGGTTGCTGGTTTTGGATTTGATTACCAGATGTATTTTGTACGTGCGTCGGATGAATGTAGTGGTAGGTAGAGATCACGATGATGTGGATCACTGGTGTAATGCCCACACGTGCTCTACAGGGAAGAGAGCCAAACGACGAGCGACATGGAGAGTCCGGCTTGGAACATGACAGTGAAGGGCCTCCCCTCCGTACCCACCTACCCCGACCACTCGTCCCCACCTCATTCTCTGCCTTCTATTAACTCGAACGTCTCCTCATCTCCTACTAAAGGCCGCTCGGACAGCTCGCCTGTCAGAGACAACGGAATGCTCTACAGCGACACGCCCAATTCTGTGAGTACTCACTTTACTTCTTGAGGATCCTGTCAGCTTTAGAGAACGCATTCGTCCATCAGCTACCAGAAAAAATGCTGATTCTTCCTGCAATGCTAAGAGAATTTTCGTTGTATACATCCATTTAATGCAAAACTTAATGTTGCTTATTTTGCCTCTACCTACGTGGTACTTAGCGATTTCTGTAGTTAGTTTGCACTTCTTCATTATCACGTAATTGTAAACTAAATTTTCTTTTAACACGTTGATTTCATATATTCTGCTCTTGCATAATTTAATCTAGTGGAACAAAACGGAGTTTAAAATATGGCGGGTCAGATTGGCGTTGTTTTTTAATCCACGAATTACTTGATTTTGATGTTGAACTCTTTGCTGGCATTTTATTGGTTACTTCACCGAACCACATGCGTGAGCTGAAAATCTCCGATTAGTCTCAACCTGCCAAAAAATGTGTTAAAGTGTCTCGCTAACATTAGTAATTTATTTACAGAGTTCCATCTCGTCCTCAAGTAAAGAGTCTTTGGACAACAGACGAGACCTCACAAGTTCTCAAAACAACCTCCGCGAGAACTCCTCGAATCTTATACGCGACCTGCGCGACGAGTCGCCGGTGCGTCGCACGTCGCGCACCAGCAACGGCAGCGCCGGCAGCAGCAGCGCGAGTTCTGCGGCCTCCGCCAACAACCAATCACCACAACGCGACGGTCCTTCTAGCGCGCATCACAACCACGTTCAGGATGGCTCATCACCTCTCCACCACAACTATCGTAATAGCAAACAATCAGATCAGCTGCACTCACCATCGTCCTCCACATCATCATCCTCATCTCAACTGAAGCAGCAGCCATCTTCTCTGCAGAAGCACCAGATAGGCAGAGGCTCTGCGAGTAGCAAGTCGTTCATGCACGGCGTGTTCTTGCCTCTGGTACGAGAGGCGTACGTCGCTACCAGCAACAATAGCAGCAATAACAGCAGCAGCCTCTCAGAACTGTGCACGTCGCTGGAGTCCTGCGAGCGCAGCAGTCCCGGTGTAACTGAGTGCCTCGTTAGGGAACTCTTCTTGGCCTTGCATCCTGAGTTGTCCAGCGCTACAGTTCTTAATCAAGTTATTAGCAATATGAGGCGATAAACACTTCTAACACTTCTTTCATTTCTAGGGTAAAATGGTACTTTGATATGCGTGATAAGTTGGAATGTAGAGTAGGAGGCGATAGGCAACGAGGAATATATTGCGTTAATTCCTGGCACAGCAAACCAATCTAATAAATTTGAGGTACACTGATGTTCGTTGGAGAGCGGAGAAGCACTATTGCTTTTTAGATTATATGTAGTGAGCGATTACGTACGTAGATCGTTCGCTACTACATCGATTTTTCTTCTTAAATAAATCATGTATTTAATTATCGGTTGGGACATTTTCAATGATGTGGATAAAACTTAGGCAGTCATGAATTGTAACGGAACCATTTTCATAATGTATCGTATGAAGGGGTCGTGCGCGTTCTTAAATTTACTTCTTGTTACACCTCTGTTTTCAAGGCAGTAATTAGTAGTCAAGTTTTATTGCATTTTTACTTTACCTGATGTTGGATTCGATCCAATAATTTGATCCAATCCAGCAAGAAAGTCATCTATGAGGCGGGATTTGAGGGGTTCAACTTTTTTTTGTATATTATTTTTCGCTACCATCATCGCGTGTGTGTGCTCCAGCAATGTTAGAATGTGGCCCTGACAGTCAAAATTAAGCTTTTGTTTTGAGTTTTTATGTTGTTTTATTTGCATTGAAACGCGCTTTGATGGAGTGTGATGGCCGCAATTGAAACGATCCTGACAGTCATTTAATTTAATATTCGAGTTTCTATACAAAGATACCAATTCTCTCCCCCACTCCCATGTGCAGTTCATAACATTCCGCCTGAGCGGCTAGTTTAAAGCATGCTGGTAATGTTCCGTTAGTTGACAAAAACAATAGCAAGGGTTCTTTCCAGGTTGCAGTTAAATGCTGTTGAATTTCTCAGGAGAGAAACTAGTTATGTTAATGTACTCCTCTACATTCATTTATTCAGGTGCATCATCTTTTTTCGAATTTGGGAGATTTTTTTAGCATATAACCACAGTGGTTCGTCGAGATTTTCTGTTATTTTTATTTGATGGATTTCTACTCAATGATTTGAGTGTTAAAGCTTCTTAAGTTTTACCATCATGAATGAATTGAGGCATTTTCCTTCTGTCTGGACTGAACCATTCATTCCGCTTGCGAATGTTTTGCAGGCCGGTGTTACGCAAGTCTTTTAACTTGATTTTTGCGACTGCTGGCAAAATCTTCATTGTAGGTTACTAATTAAGTAATTCGTTCTCTGATAAAACGGAAGCTAATGAAAGCAAGGTTATACCTGACGCTATATTTTCGCATTACGGACTTGGATTTCAGTCTCGGTTTTGTTTGAAGTCGATGCGCTGCTTTATTGATGCTACTTAATTTCATTCCTGCTTTGAAAGAGCTCTCGACTCGCATACCTGGAGTTGGTTGGTTTGTTGCTGTGCGACGACCGCCTTGGAAACCAACTTACCATATCAATAAAGCTATTGGAAATGTCTTTGAGATGCGTTTTTTTTTTTTTTTTGCTCAACAGCTATGATTGTAAAGTTTTTCTCGTTGAGGAATTTTCGTTGTCTTGCTTGATTGTGCGCGGTCATTCAGTATTTTTCAGTCCGAAGGCGCGAAACTGAATGTTAACAGAACAACATGCAAAGGTGTCCTTTTTGTAAGATTTCGTTTCAGCATGCACGATTTCAAAGATGGCATCTCGAAATTGGTTTTCTTTGCATAAAGCCGCGGCCTCACGATTTGTCAAATTAATTTTTGAGAAAATCGAGAGTATTCTGGATTAAGACCGCGAGAGCTCCTTCCCTTGTAGATTACGCAAGTGCCTATTTTGTATATTTTGTATCATCATTTCACGGTATCAGGTAACATGATTTATGTATTTGATTAAAGCATCCCTATTATAATCGTTTTAATTGCTAGGTGCCTAGCCAATTATAATTTTTACGATTAAACTTAGTTGTACAGAATGTATGTGGGAAGTAGTGCGATAGGCAACTGCATTAGTGCTCGGATACTTTCGAGACTGTATTTATCTTCTACTTTTTTATTTGTCTGTTGTGTAATTTAAACGGTAATTTATACAATTTCTTTCTGCCAAGTTTCCACTGTCAACGTCACGTCTTTTATAGAATTCTGAAGCCAAAGCCCTGTAATGTAGCCACACGTAAAAGATTGGAACATGCTATTGTACGCTGGGCTGCCCATCGTGTGTTCTAGTTGCTGCCAATTTGTCGTGGTGTTCATCACAACACGTCACCGTTTTAGTATTCTGTACGATGAAGTTCTCTAAATCTTCTGACGTAGCTTTTATGGTCATGACACTTGCCTTTATAACGTAGCAAAGTTTTTGGTCCTGATAGAGTAGAAGTTGCGTTAGTTCTTCGTGGTTTTCAAGCTTCTATTTCACTTTAAACAGTCACTCGTGAGTTCTCGTGTTTTTCTGAAATCTTATTAGATGTTAACTTCAATGTTAGGAATGATTTCATGAAACTTCATCGCCGGAATATATCAGATGCCGGTGGTGTTCAGTGGATTGTTGAACGTGCTTCTCGGTGCTCCGTTCTGTGGAGTAAGAGAGGTGACATGATATGTGACTTCCATAACATAAGTCCAATGTTAAGTAGTTACCTCTGTCGTGTTAACGTCTTGACATATGCTGGAAGGTCTTTTGACGACTACCGCTTAAAATATTTACCATTTACCTTGTGCGTGAATTCCTGCGTGTATAATTGTGGAATTTAACGTTCGATACAATATCTATTTTGATGAGAGTCGTAGTAGAATCTAATGTATGAGTGTTGCTTGTTATGATGATGCTGGCTTGTTTCTTGCGATGGTTTGCTCTCTTTGGGAATCATAAGATAGCGTAAGTTTATCGAGCTGCTGTCGGGAGCAACAAGCACTGGCATCTATGCCTAATTCTATTTGTTGTACGTGTCTCTACTTACGTCTGGCTTCACATTAATGACCTCTCCTTAAACCGTGCGAACCTTACTTCTTGTTTCCATGTGTAGTGTCGATGTTTCTTCAGACTTGCTGCTACCATCAATAATCTCTCATAGGAATACTGTTCAGATGTGAGTGACGCTACAAACGTCGTAAAGGTGCGAGAAAAACATGTTCGCGCCGTTTACGGTGGTTCATTCGTAAGTGCTGGACGTCAATATAAATATTACATCGGGTAATACCAAGATGAAAATTAAATATTAATCTGTATTCTTTTGTTTTGACAAAATTGTAAGAGAATATACTTATTTTTAGTTCAGACTAAAATATAAAGTTTTGATTTATTTTTTCTTAAATTGCCGAACTTATTAGGTGTCAAATCGAAATTCTATTGACAGATGAGCTACAAAATTAATCTCGAACCTGTTTCTTTTCTCTTTGCAGTTACTAATTCATTATTGATGGTTAACCATTTCACTGTCTTAGTTTTGATTATAAAATATGATATATTATGTTCATTCTCTTTTTGTTGATCGGATTTTTAGTAGGAATTCTTTTAGACGTTTCTCACAAATTGCCCCAACTTCTAACAATTTGTAGTCTATTAATTATCTATGTTATCGTGGGCATTTTAATCTAGGAAGTGGGAGGCGTTTTCTTGGCCTGATAATCTTTCTTTGAACACGATTAGTATAGCTTGATATATTGAACATAGAAATTAATCACTTACAATCGCACATGACAAGTGTTTACTTTGTGCCTAAAATGTTAATATTCCTGGATGTGCTTTTTATTTAATGTCATGTCGATTCTAAGTTTTAGGTCAGCCAATTCTTTGATGATCACTGGAAGGATTTATAAGGCGAGCATATCTTCTACAGATCCTAGCCAGCTGGAGTGAGGCGTTGTATTCATTATTCATGTTTGTTTCTTGCAACAACCCTTGCCAATTGTTCCATACTGAACTCGCATCCTGCAGTCATGAAGCTGTTGAGTACTGGTGATTGTAAATGATTTATCTTGTTAGAAAGTAAAATACTACATTACACATTTTTTGTTAAATAATGGTTATGCCTTTCTATGTACAGTGATGGTTAAACTATTCATAAACTATTAGATGATATAAAGTTTGAGCTTTGTTTCTTTTACCTTTACATTGTCGTCATTTGGGTAGAATGCCTAACTACAACATTTGCCACTCAAGAATACGCCGTTCATTTTCGAAAGAAATAAATAAGCACAGGAAAGGACAATTAAAATGCCCAAAAACTTAATTTAAAACTTTTTGGAGACCAGCTGTAGCATCAGTTCAAAAGTTCTATGAAGCAAGTATAATCAAAGAACGACAGACTTTACACAGAATAATTTACAGCCTTAATTTGAAACGATTATTAATAAAAACTAATAATAATGGTAATAAACGGCCGAAGTAACCTGAAAACCTATCAGTTTACAATTTCAAGAGGTAAGGAAGAATTATACAACTTTAGAAGCCGTCTTTTTTAGACGGCTTTCGGTTCAGAAGGTGCAGTGATTCCAAGATCTTAATTCATGACTTCGCTTGTAAACTCGGGATCATCGCAACGATCGGCATTAAGGCGCTTAAAAATGGCAGGAAAATGGTTCCTCTCTAAATATATCTTCTTCGATTCATGTGCTTCAAATTCGATTCGTTAAGAGAATATTTATCGACTCGGAAAAACTTTTTTGATATATGATATTTTTTATGCGATTTTTTTCTCTCCTCCCCCTAGTTGTTTCAATATATAATCCAATCCATGTGCAAATCATAAAAAATATAACTCAGTACTCACTGCAGTGAGTGACAGAGAGCGCATTTTCTCGTCGACGAAAACTTGAGGTCACGGACAGACAGACAGACGGACGGACATGGCGAGCACAATAGTGCATTTTTTCCATGAATGAGAAAATGCGCTAAATAGGGCTTCCAGAGTCGCTAGATATTGGCATATTGCCTTTACAAATTGAATATGTCTCTCAGTGCTGTAGCTAGTGTATAACAATTAAGAGGAGATAGATTTTTGAGATGGCGTATTTCTTTTAATTTTGATTCTTCAGATGAGGCAAATGAGTAAAATTGATTGAAAGAAGAAGAAAATGCAAAAAAAAATTGCTTGATACTGCGGCCCCAAATTTTCCATTGCCAATTACTTGTGTTGTGGATACCATCACGCGTCTGTAGACTTATTCCTGTCTACTTTAACGCGTGTAATGAGCAATAGATATGACATTTCTAATATATTTATTTATACAAAATGGTCATTCTATTAAAGTTCAAAACTACCTTACGCAAAAGGTATTGCATGCACATCCATTGTATTTGCCTTGTTGGAAGTTCCTCGTTTGCAGCTTAAAAATGAGTCCAAACACATAGCAATTCACGCAAATAATGATTTATAAATGCCATTTTCAAATAAATATTTGTAAATATGGTTATAAAATGGTCATTTTATGAAAGCTTTAAACGGCCTAATGGAAAAAACTAAAGCCCCAACATAAATAAAGTTGTCTGTGTTAAGGTGCCTGTACACAGGGATAGTACTAGCCGCTAGTTCATCCGGCGCATGAACTGTCCACGCTACTAGCCTCGTGTATAGGGGTTCAGCCGCTTCAGAGGCATGCGCCGGCAAGTGCCCGAGATGCGGCCGAGCGGGGCAACGATGTGTTGATATCTTGGCTGGAGAAGTGGCTAGTAGCGCTGATGCAGCCATGGTGAGAGCATCTGTGCCGCTCTTGCGAAGTATCTTGGGTCAAGTGAATCCTGGCTTGTTTGAACGATAATGTTTCTAAGAAGAAACAAACTAAGTGGATTCCAGACGATATTCAATTATTTTTACAGACCTCACTCGACGGCTTCTAATGACGCACTGGCGGGCGCGAAAGAGCAGATAGCGTCACCTTCTACTCTCCACGTGTGTACAGGCTTACTAGCCGGATAGTCACCAAGCGAGCAACACTTGCCAGATGTACTAGTCGTCTGCACTATCCCCGTGTACAAGCACCTTAAGAAGCGTCTTTTTCGTAGCTACAGATTGACTTAAAAACAGTTCAATTAATACAAATGATGATCTATAAATACAGTATTTATCAAAGAAATTAAAAAAAATATATTTTATAAGGTTAATTTAATAAAAGCTCAAACGGTCTTACGAAAAAACTACGGTAGATTTTGCCTTCGGGCTTTTTGCTTCCGAATTTGTAATAGTGTCATCTGCGAAATGAGATGAACAACGCATAAAAACGTAATTTTTTCGACTTTGGGGTCGATGGTTCCCTGAACAGAATGGGGCGGGTGTGCAAGCAGAACTCCAGAACGATTTACTCTTTGCTTCGATGTTCGATCGATCTGATGAAGAAATTATTTCGGCGCACAACTGTATTTTCGGAACAGGTTTACGAAACGTTTTAAATGCTAAAATGGTGAATTTATTTTATTTATTTGGCATTTTCTAACGTTTAAATTCTTGTCTATTTCACCTAAAAGCTAATGGATGATATTATGAGCTGTTTTTCTATACGGATTCCAAGCGATGTTAATGCCTCTTTCTAGCGCAATTTCTCATTTATGGAAAAAAGGCGCTACTATGCTCGCCATTTCCGCCTGTCCGTCTGTCTGTCCGTCCGCGACAACACGTTTTCGTCGACGAGAAAAGGCGCTCTCTGTCACTCACTGCAGTGAGTAATGAGTTATATTTTTTAATAAATTAGACGTGAAGCTTTTGAATGTATGATTATTGGAATTAATCATTCAAATCCCCAGATCAGCCTACATGCACGACACCACTTCAAGAAATTACTCTCCTGGCAACCGGCGTGTCAACGATGAGAAGGAACTATAGTAAACTCATTTTGTCACTAGATGCAAGATGGAATTTTCTCCGAGTCTCCCAGTGAAATAATAAAAACTGCTAGTTCGATTAAAATATCGTTGCCTATACGCCATATTCCTTTGTTGTTCGTTGCAAACCAACCATCTTGATAAAGGGTGAAAAATTAAATGTATCTTACCGAACAACGTTTTCTGTAAGGTATATTGCTTAAGGTTACATTAACGGGATGGATCTTTAACCGTTTATGGCGATCAAATCACTCTACTGTGCTGATGGAAACTAGGTTTTCTGCGGTGAAAGTTGCTCATCTCCTGCGCTTCTTGTGCCAGCATCCTGATTTCTTACTTGAATCTTGCCGCACCGCGAGCTGACCAATCCTGTTCAGAAGATGGGCGGCAGGTTCGAAATGGCTGAGCCTCAAGCAAAATGTCTGAGAGCGCATCTAACTATAATTTTTTAGAACCTTCTAACGATTTTTTCAAGTAACTTCGTTACTTTTCAGCTCGCATCGAAAATGGTCAAATTTTCGCTGGTAAACATTCACTCTATATTTTAATTCGGCGTTCAAATTTTCGGCGTGTAACTTTCATTTCAACAAATTAGATGTCAGAAAAACGCCATAAATAGGAGGGAAGAATAGAATATGAAAAATTCATTAAATTTGAAATTATTTGCATATAATTTTAAATTAAAATTGAAATTATTTGATAATAATCCATCTTACCGTATCACTTCTCATGTATCAGTGCAGTCGAAAAAATAATTTAAGTTGAAACTTTTAAAGTAATGATTCTTCGTTTCACATAAAAGAGCGATATATCAATCCAAGAGTTTTCACCAACCTACTTACGCCAATAGTTTCATACCAATAGTGCAATATTGCAGATTCATATTCACATATCAATTTTTAAACTGTGTACCTGCAACATAAATTTATCTTCACATTCAATAAATTAAATTGTGTGAAGCATTTAGGAAAAACATTTTGCATGTATGCAAAATGCTATTAATACTCATGCTCATGTCAATAAATTACCTCTATAAATAAATGATATCAAGTTACCTTTCTAATCAATATTAACAACAAATGAACAATGAAATAATTCGATGAATCATTCACTTCTCATTCTCATTGAGTTTCACGCTAGGTAATTCAGCCCTGCGCCATGCACCTATACTGAAGAAGCGCTACCTCTTGTAGAACATTTTATCCAACCTGGAAATATTCAAGCTTCCATTTTTGATGATAAATTATACTAAGTAATTTTGGCGAAGAATTGGCTGAAAACGAGTACAGTTCAACTTGCGCCTATGTCTGCATTGAGTCCCGATTCTTCCCTTGGTATCCTTGGTATTTGTTTGGGACGTAGCAGTCCCAGGCCACGATGGATCGCCGCCTCTGATTATCGCTCACCCGCCCTCATTTGGGCCACCTGATGCACGATGCTGTTGCTTGCTTGAGATTCCAATTCTAATTATATTCTAATCACGCATATTAATCCATTCTGGGAGTGGCCATTATTATCATTAGTTGTCATTATTTCTTTTATTAATACTGCTATTGTTATTCTTATTAGTATTATTCTACGAAGCAGTTGTCGTGGTGTCATGTTCAGCCGAACTTCAAGAATTTAATTAGGTTGGAACTCAAAAAAATTTTGATAAAAGGCCCTGACTGTGAACAGGTAATACTAGTCCCTCTCTGCACTCATTAAACTAATAAGGTATCGGACGAAGATTACGTGCGTCCAGTTTCCGCCAAAAAAAGCCATCTTGTCGGAACCGGCCAGTTCAATAAATCTGGAAATGGAGCATTGAACAGTTTTGGGTGCCGGTGCACGAATTCCTACCCGAAATAAATTACGCAGGTTCAGAAAGTACAAACGCGTGAGCATTTATAGGACTTTTCAATGTACAAGTGATTTATTCTCCTTTCACTACGTTTTTTAATCCAAAAAGGAACATGTCTTGTTACGGACAAAAATTAAATAATGTAGAAGCTGCTATGACAACCTTTAGATGTGTCAGTAGAACAATCGTCATTAGTCCTGCATTTAACTCATTAAAAGGAAATTGCGTTAGGTCTTTTACTTAAACTCTTAAAAGATTATATTTTGACTCGGGACTCCCACGTTTAATAAGTACGGTAATTTTGCACTAGGTGAAGAAATCTTAGGGTGGACATGTTGCTTTTTATGTTTTTTTTGTGTTCTTTTAACATAACATAACATAGTGATGTCGGCTCTGAAGTGTAGGCCTGATGTGGCCTGTCGCCGATTCTTTTCCATTTCGTGCCTTGTTCATAGATCTAAACTCGTGTCATTTGACCGGATCTTTTCATGACTGGCGATAGTTTGAAGAAGCTACTAGACTTCCACCGGGTTCGATAAGGAGCTAGGCATTTCAAATCTGAACAAATCATTCAACAATTTCGACTCATTGCCGTGCTCTTCCACCAACTCGTCTCTTTTTCGAGCACCAAGAGTTGGTTTTTCGCAATCACGGCAAAACCGTGTTATATTATATATTTGTTTGTCGTATATTTGTTTGTCGTACGTGTTTATGTTTATATGCACACAATGCAAATTCCTGATCAATCAAACTTCACTGGAACTTGAAAAGTCTGTCGGCATGCATAATGAGCCAGCATGTTTGTTGAAAACTTCGATCCTGCACGTCCAGCAGATCGTAATCAGGCGATCTCGTCTAGCTGATCTTCTTCATTTAATGACCTCGCCCAAGACAGAACTTTCAAACAGGCTCATATAGTGCCCTTAGCGCTAGGGATAGGCGGCAGAAGTGGTGCACTTTTTATTAAATTTGCCGTGCTTCTTTTCACCACAAGCGACGAGTGTCTAAATTCTGGTTTGTAGCTACAGCCCTGTGCTGTGAGATGAGACTGTAGCTACAGCCGTGTACTGTGAGATGAGACTGTAGCTACAGCCCTGTACTGTGAGATGAGACTGTAGCTACAGCCCTGTACTGTGAGATGAGACTGTAGCCCTGTACTGTGAGATGAGACTGTAGGTACAGCCCTGTACTGTGAGATGAGACTGGTCACATGGCTATGGCGAGCTTATATCAAACTATTACTCACACTCATTTCACCAACAGATCGATGTACAATCTAGAATTTTACTCTCATCGGACAAAAATACGGCTTTCGAGCGCCTTGAATTTCATTTAACAAGTGTTCTAATAAAAATTAGACCGTATCAAAGCCGCGAGGGAGACTCCTTTCGATTGAACTTAAACTTTAAATTCTGTTCAATTGTTCAAATTTTGCACTCTGGTTAGAAAGCATTAGATTCGTTTCAAATTAAATAAATCAAGTTTGTTTAATATGCGCATGCAGTTAAGTATTAAAGACACTATACTGATTACGACATTTGTATGACGTGTAAAGACGCACATCTATCGGCTCTCTGTGTAACGACGGCGCATTTATCATCGGTTCGAATGAGAACTGTCGCGTGTCACGGCCGGTGAGCTCGATCTTGTTGCGACGAAGATCAAACGTCACTCTTGGATCTCCATGCTTTATAAAGATCTAATTTGTCTTATGATTAGTGAATGTTTTATTAAATTAAATATGTAAATCACGTTTTACTCTCAGTGAATGTTTTAATGTCAGTTAATGTTTGAATGCCAGTTAATGTTTTGTTGTTAGTAACCGCGTTTTGCTGCCAGGTGATGTACCAGTTTACCATTCTCGCCAAGAACAGAAATTTACGCATCATCTCAAAATTATCTATCTATTATATTAACCTTCGATACTATCAATTATCTTCTTCCTTCGCAGTAGCAGAGCCTCGCTTCTTTACCTCTTTTGCCTGATAATAATCTTTTGTTTTTTAATATCCATTACTTACAATGCCAGAAATCGTTCTAACATTTTTATTACTAGATAATATAAGAGATATAACATTCTGCAAGGCATTATCACGCTGAAGTAAGATGATCTGAAGATTGAAGACGTAACCGCAAGACTCTACTATAGATGATTGAAGTTCTCATGTAATCAAACTGTGGAACGAATGTATTTTCACTCGGCACAAAACATTGTAACTTTTCATAGCATTATTCCAGCAATGTCAGCATTACCTGGTAACTCTTGAAATACTTCTTCTACATCTATGCTGAGCGCGCTCATGTGTTCTTATGAAAAAGGCGTTGTGAATTAATTTAAATTAGATTTCTCATCTGAACTATTTCTACGAATTAATTACATGATGAAAGCGATTAAAATATACAGTTTAGGTATCATTAAAGTCTGCCATGCTGACTCGCTAAGTCATCTGACATTTCTGTAGAATACGTGGCAGAAGCTTCGTCGTGCAGCGTTTGTAAAGACATTTCTTGTCTTGAATCGAATGGCATTTCAGTCGGAAAACAAATTGCTGTGCTATAGTAAATGCTCTTCACCGAGGTTTTCCCCACAATCGTCATTGTTTCACTTGAACTAAGAGAAAAAAATTCGTAATATTCATGTTGATACTGGATTGTTAAGTGAATGCGGTATATTCCATTCATTTAGTTTGAAACGAATTCAAGTTTATAAAAACTTCCCGCAAACTCAGTCGTTGTATCAATAGGGAATTGCCTGTATTTTGAAAGCACCGAAGACCAGTCTTGACGATGGACCATTACCGACATTTTTAGCGCCTGAGACCTGAGGACTATTGAAGATCGCTCCGGTCTCGCAAGAGAGAGTTGCTGTCAGGCTCGCTGTACAGCGGTTGGAAGATCCAAGACCTCTTCAGTCGCTTCTTGGACTCCGCACATTCGGTGGCTAAACCAAGCTGATCCTCAGCTGAAATTCAACACGACTGCCTCAAGTTTATTATTGCGGGACAAATTTTCAAGACCGCTCGTGCCTCTCTACACGAACTTGATTAAGAAGCTATAAAAGTGCTAACAGGGAACTCGCTCTTCCGAGAGTTTGTTCAAGTCACGATCAAAAACGCTCGCCTGCTACTGACTGAGTTCACCCAATCCCGTGCAAAGAATTATCCTTTGCTAATGAAGAATAGTTTGGCTCACACAATGCAATTTTGGTAAGTTACGTACTATTGTTTTATGTTTTTACCTGCTAAATGTGTGGTTTCCGCAGTTTCTCATTTACGATGTACGGTTACGGTTTCTGTCTTACGGTTTCTTAGCCACTACGCTGTGAAGCGAAGAACATCAGACATCACGAACAAGATATTAAATATTATTGCACAGTTCTCGCCAATTTGTTTTTCTATGAAGCCGGAAGTTAATTTATCTCTATATTTTTATTTTTGATTACTATTGATTTTGATTACTCTCCAACATTCAGCGTGGTATAACAGAATCTGAGCGGTTCCTTACTGAGCGAAAATTTTTCTTTGCCATCAATGTGGTGCTTCTATCGCTCTAAAACTTATCCATCAGTGGTGCTGATATGCTATCTCTATTATTAAATAATTAAGTTCCGAACTAGCATTAATATTCCTTTGTGTAGTTGAATAAAATTTTCAAAATTTCAGTTGGTAAATTTTAAGATCTATGCACTATAACAACCTCAATTTAACAGTCCCTGATGTTATATATGATGTGAAAATGACGTACTTAGCGAAGGATCGGTGTGAACGGCCGCTCACTCTGTAAGGATCGAATCATAGTAGAAAAGATCGGGATTTTCCGCTTGTGCGCATTGAGTTCAGCGTTAATGGTGCTGAATAATCAATGATTTCTGAGAGCTGCTCCATCATTGGCATGATTGGTACTGATCGCTCATTTTTCTGTTAAGCTGCAAGGAAAGGCGCCGATGATCAGTAAATGCGCCGTTATGGCTAACGGTGCCTACGGTCTTTTGCATCTGGGCCAAGGTTACCTTACCTTTTTCCGACCAAATACAAGCGTCAGGTGGCTCGATTTTTTATCTCTTTAATAATCTCAAATTATCTTATGGCGATTGATCTCGCTATATTTGTGTCTGCATTTATTAACGGATATAACTTGTATCATTCTTTATTCGAATGTCGAGGATCGTTTTCTTAAATTTAGGTTCTTGCTTGCATTCACATTCAATTAAGATGATGAGGAAGTAATTTAGCTCTCCTTAATTAATATCGCTTACACACTTAAAATTCAGAGCAAAGAAGTTGTTCTATAGATAATTCACTCTCACATACGTGTCGATGAGAGTAGGGTAATTATTAGCGCCAAATAACAGACGAGATGGCAAAGACTTTCCCCGCCTCGATGCCGACTGTGACACACTTAGCTTGCGCTGCCTCCCCACTTCTATAGTTACCGCTAGCGCCCTTTTATGCAGAAAAGTTTTTATATATTTCGGAATATTCCATGAAAGTTTGAGAAATCGTTATGTCACTTACTTATTCAATCAAGATTCATTCCTTTGTAGGAGTTAATTTTTAAAATAAAGCTTAGAGCAAACGCCGAAGTGGTTCGAGAACATTCCAGACTGGGATTACGAGTTCTGCAGGTGACCTAGAACTGCTGGCTGAGCAGCGTGAGGTGCACAAGCCCAAGCAAATATTCTCCTGTTATCTCAACGAACTTTTTCCTCTTAAGCTTAACGGTTCATGGAAAGCGGCGAGTAGCTTTAGGGATTTTAAATTTTTGGAACCGTTGTCCTTTGTTTTTGTCTCGATTTTTTTACAAGTATTCGAAGTGTCTTGATTAAATTTTCTTCTGTATAATTAAGAAGTTTGTTTTAAAAATACGCATATATGACAATGTTATAAACCTAATTCAATATAAATGAAGTGTGTTGCCGTTAAAATCGAGGAAAATTTTACAGTCGATTTACCTGCTGGATTTAAATTTGACAATATAAACATTCATTGATACGATACCATTATAGCCCCTTTTAAAATTTTATAAGAAACTGGAAGCAAGAAAATTTGAGTTGCACTGGCGTCAGGATGATGTAATGTTTACTTAATTAGCGTATGACATAACATAGATAAATGCATTATATGAATTATATATATTAACATTATTATAAATAAGCATATCATAAATGTATTATACAAGTCGATCAATAAGCACGAATAAGCGGCCATGGTTTAATTACCATCAATTTTGAACATTTTCAATCGCCCCGTCAAGTGCCAAATGTGGTCAAACATTGCACTAAATTTGCCTGAGTCCCCTGGGTGGGACTCATGTTTCTTATCATACATGACCTCATTCTACTCTAGATCCAGATAATTCAAGCACTCTTTAACTTAGGTTTTTTAAAAATGTCTTCGAAATGTTTTGAACATTTCTAGCTGAAAGAATTGGAAATGTTCTGCAATAAGAAGTAGACATCAAACATTGAGTGCTGAATTGAAAAATACAATCACTAATTTTATCCTGTATACAGTTCAGTGATCACCAAGCTAAGCTCCTGATAATTAATTACTCCGATTTGTGTACAATAAACAACAGAAAAAATGTATCGAAGCATCTGGACTGTACGTGTAATATTGTGCGTAGCTTTTTATAGGGCGGACGCCATTAAGGACTTTCTGAAAGTCAGATAGTCGTGTGTTTATTTTTAATTTAATTTTAACGTTTTTTTACTTTTGTATCTTAACCAGGTAGTTCTGTTATTAGATCCTATCAAGATTTGTGTACGTCATGTGCTTTGATGCGAGTTCGACTGAAAACCAGAGGAAACAATAAATTTTGTCGTTCGACGAATTGGAAAAATGAGCAATAAATGCATTCTCTATTCTTCAATCGAACTTTCATTAAAGAATAACATATGATGAACTACATAAATCATACATACAATAATAAAATCATACAAACATATGATTAATTAGCGCTAAAATTATACAAACTTGCATAAATGTATTTGCGAGTTGCATTTCGCTATAAGATTTGTATGTTCTCATAGAGCAATATTATCAAGATATAAATTATAAATTTATGCTCTGGAAGTTTTATAGATCGCCTGGAATTCTGTTATTAGTATAAGTTATTAGTATAAATCTGTAAGATAACAAAACGAGCATCAATGTGAGTCACTTGAATTTTTCTCAATCATTCGACAAGATTATCTTTGCTTTCTAATTTCCTCAGCCATAACAGTTGCGTGCCTCATCATAACCTGTAGGCATCCTCGCTCAGCAGCAAACAGCTTAACGACGTAAACACACACATTTTTGTTATCCGATATCTACTTTTTAAGCATTCAAGTATAAATATTTCATACTAAATATGTTATTTAAGTATAAATATTCATCTTAATAAGAGAAAACCTGTATATCAAGAGTGTTCGTAAATTCCATACGTGAATAATAATAACACATCCATCAGACGCGCGTTGTTGCATCTGCGCTTCACGCTGGAGTGAGCTAATGCAGTTTCTTGACAGATGTTGGACGGCTCGACAGACAGACGGTCGCCTGGGAACTTTCCTAGCGCAATTCCCGCCATACACTTTTCCGTCATCAATACAAGACGCGAGCGTCTCTTCGCTAACTCTCGGCGCATCTTATATCATTAGTCTGTTTATATCATAAGTTGAATGAGAATTTAAAAGATAATAAAACCTCGAAGATGAAGATAAGTTGAACTTACTTGGGGGTGTTTCTCTTATAAATTTAGATTTGACGTCATCATGTTGTGGGCCTATTTATTAAGCGAAAGGTCTTCTTTACAGATTAAAGACTTCCACAAAGAGAACAGCGTATAGCTTTAACTTTTCGGTAGATCAACATCATTTTTCTTGACTAGTGAATGAAGAATTTGCATGCTAAGTTAAGGAATTCTTTTGCTATTTTCTGTTTATCGAAATTCATGTACCAGACGGAAAAAGCCTCAACAGACGGCGTAAGTTTATTGAATATTTATGTTTTGATCATTTATGCGGTGTATTACTTTAAAAAATGTATTGTGTATACTTAATTGATTCATACTTTTACTTAATTCAGTAAATAAATGTGTGGTCGACCACACAAAACAAAATTAAAAATTTTTATAGTAGACTTGAGGCGAAAGTATCCTAAAAGCTTTAAAATTATATTTATATCTTGTCTTAATTACTTCTTCGGGTAACACAAAATTTCGGATATCCATGAATTAGATCGACATTTTTAAAAATTTGTTCTATAGAGCATGTCGGTTGGGAACAGCTCGATTTTAATTAAATCTAATAATAAGAACAATCTCTAGAACAAATATGCTCAGGACAAACACTATTGGATTGCCAAATCATCAGACGTGAGTTGAATGTTGACTCGTAATGGGAAGTAAACAGACTGCATCACGCAGAATACTCTCACTAACTAACTAACTGTAACTGTTAATGTTCTCTCAAGTTGATTCGTATCATGACAAACAAATTTCTCTGGCATTGCTTTCTTTATTGTTTAGTGTCGGTTAGTAATCTTTAATTTAATTAATCCTGTTAAATATTAATTAAATAAGGTGCCGGCAATTGCATTAATTCGAAATTTCTTTTGATGGTAAAATTATGATTTAGACACTAATTTTAAAATTGAACTAGAACTAACATTGTGTAAACAAGAACATATAAGGACTCAACTTTTTTAGAAGAAAAGGAAAGACCAATAGTTTCCGACAAAGCGGTTTCATTTCGTACAGAAAGCAACATATCTCATCCAGGATTATGGTCACTGTGGAACTATTCGACACACTAAATATAGTTTTAGTAATTTTGAAATATTGTCTGGAATAATCAAACAATGAAATATTGTTTTTTGAAATATATATTTTTTAAATATTGTTTAAAATATCGTTGGCCTTATAATAGTAGCATAGTGTCCATCAGAGCAAAATATATAATATATGATGAATATTTGTTAATTAAACGTCATGGCATCGACAAAAAATTGCTTCTACAATGAAATTATTCTATATATAATATTAACCTATTATGTGCTGTTATTGATTACGAGAAAGGGGATGAATATAAATGAGGGTAAGGACGCTGTTCTTGGTTAGGAGAAGCACGATGGCTGAAGGGTGTGGGTAAGAGAGATGGCTACTAATCCTACCCAGCAAAGATAGGATTAATAATATGCGTTTAAAAATTACTTTTTAAAGA